GGGTCGGGAGTAACTTTCCAGTTTTGCCCATCAATCTCCAAGGTTCAGGGCAATACTGGAAATCTGGTCAAGTTCATAGATTCAATTAATCCTACACTGTATGTGCCTAGGGTCTCACCCTGGCAGCTGAGACAGGCCACCTCAACTGACTTGGTGGCACCACAGTGTCAGCCTTGTCAGGATAGGTCTCCCCAAACTGACCCACTGGCTGTGAACATTCTAAACTAATACGAGTCTCATTAAGTGTCCAGTTTAAGGGTATTGCACAGAAACATACCAGGGGAACATGAATCAAATATGCATTTTTATTCATTTACAATAAACTTATAAAGTACATCTTTCTGATTAAAGGTAAGGGCATACAAAACTGTCTAACAATAGGTCATTCTCTTTGCTTTTTTTATGGTTGCGCTCTCTCTCTCTCTCTTTAGCTGCTTATTAAGGCACACACCACCAGGTGCAATTTCCATTTATATTTGTGTTAATTTACTTTTAATTACACATTACTTTCCACAATTACTTGCTTTCATTGTTGATTTATTTTATTAATGTAGAACCACTAACCAATATAACAAGCTACAATTCCTAACAATTCATTTTATTTTTTAGTTATTATCTTCTTGTTAGCACTCTTTATTGTTATTGCTCTTAATTGTTGACTGCTAACCCATGCAGCTCTTGCTTCTTTCTACATTGTCTGTTTGTTTTGTAGCTATAGGTTTTTTTATTCAGCAATAAGGTTAATTCAATAGGAACTTCTTGATTAACTGCTGAACCAAATTAACCTATCCTAAAACTCCTGTTGTGTCTTGATTGTCAAGAGTATAAGAAATCGGATTGAATTCCAAGAAAATCAATTTTTGATTCTCTACCTAATTCACCCCTCTTAGTTAAGGCCATTGGTCCCAACGCAGTCCTTGTACTCGATTTTGCTTTGTTCTATTAATTCCTTTATTTTCCATTTCTAGAGACAACAAGAAACAAGAAACTCCAACTTTTTAAGTTCATGCTCATTTCCTTTTCTCTCTGAATCTTTTACTTCTTTAGAAGACTTAGACGAGAATAAGATTATGAACTGAATTTGAGTCTGAGAGGGGCTCATTTTTTTCCCTTGTTAAGACAGAATAATAAGATTATGAACTAAATCTAAGTTTGAAAGGGGCCCTTTTTTTTTCCCTTTCGAACTCTCTTGGTAGTAGTTCATAGGAAGGATTAATTCTCTGGTGACTTTTTTTTCTAACAATACTTCTCTGACATCCAAAGCACAATTTTTTTTTTCTTTACTTAACGGAAGGGCAAAATCAACATTTTAACTTTGTCATTAATATTTAATGGCGATGTGAATCTATACTACTATTAAAAATATGAATGAGAGTATGAAACTTTTATTTGACTAAAATACCCCAATTTTTAAATTTGGTTGCTCTCTAATTATAAGTAGGGGTGTTCATTATACGAATCAAACTGTAAAACCAAACTGAATTTGTGGTTTGGTTCGATTTATAGCTATAAATAGTTTGGTTCGGTTTGAGAATTTTCTAAATTGCGGTTTGCAGTTTCGATTTGGTTTATTGAATTTTATAAATCGAACCAAACCATAAACCATAAACCAAAAGTTTATATACATATATAAAATATGAATATATGATATATAAACATTATATATAATATATCTAAATGGAATGCATAAAATTATAAATATATAATAAACTCTTTATTTTATAATAAAATAATAATAAAAGTTTTAGGTTTTAATTTTTAGGGAAGATATTTGGGCTTTCTAATTGGGTTAAGGCCAAAAGAACCATAGAATGGTCTAAAGTCCCCAAACCGTATTAGAAACCGCACCACAAACCGTAATAGAACGGTTTGGTTTGGTTTGATTTCCATACCAAAATAGTTTGGTTCAGTTTAGAAATTTCTCAAACTGTAATTTACTGGTTTGATAAGAGATCTTCTCCAAACCACACCGAATTGGACCATGAACACCCCTAATTATAAGGACAAAAATGTAATTTGAACACACTTTTCTCCTTATTCAACTTCCTCTCATTAAATCTTATACTTAAGATATTAAGTCCCATTAACATTAATTGAATCCTATTATTGACTAGAATAACCCTACTTTTTGAATTTGATCACTTTATAATTGTGGGTGCACAAAATGTATTTTGACCGAATAGGTTTATTCTCATTCAGTTCCTTTTCATTATGTCTTATATTTAGGTATTATTCTCATTCTTTCATTGAATCTTATATAATTAACTATATTAAAGAAAAATAAATGTGATAAAGAATTTTTGTTTTTATTAATTATAAATATAAAATACAAACTTAAAACCAACATAAAAATAGAGTTATTTTTATGTGTGGTTGCGAGTCAACAATTCAACGTCTTGATCAAATGTGTAAATCCTTATTATCATAATTAAATAGTAATTATATTATAACAGTTTAAAAAAATAAAACCACACAAAAGTATAAAAAATTTATAAAAATATGTAGGCATATCTCTAAAATCTTATATTCATAAACAAAAATAAAGGTAAATATTATAATAAAAATAATTTTTATGGACATAAAATGTATACAATTTTACAAAAAAATCGGAGCATATCATACAAAATTGACACGTTCAACACTTAATAGTTGTAAAAAAAAAACCTTAAATATAATTTAAGGGAATTGACACGTGTAACAATTACCAAACCCTGTTTTCCTTTCTCATTTCAGTTTTATGTGTTGGGTCTTCGAAGATCTTCTCAGAGCTGCTTTTTCATTAGTTTTTGAAAATCCATGAAAGCATTTCAAAAGATCTCTCTACTTTTAATTCTTGTCTGCCATTAACGATCCATAAATATAACACTTGTCTCAGGTCGTAACTCGTAAGTCACCCACCTTTCTCTGGGTTTTACTAGTTTTATTTCTCGCTGAGACCAGCCGGAAAGTCAATTTTCCGGCTGTTTTTCCGGCGCTATGGTCTAGCTCTTTATTACAGTTGTCTTTTTGAGTTTTTAAAGACCATTCATCTTTGTCAATCTCTGTCTATATCTATCATGTCTGAAAAAAATAGGTCGATGCGTGTTTTCAGTTCAGGGTGCTGTTTCTCAACTCCTGTTTTCTGTTAGGTAGCTGCTACTAGATTACTCTGTGTCTCTTTCCTATAATCTCTGAGTCTGAGATAGCTCATTTGTAAGAAACACTGCTCGTTCTGTTCGTCGCTTTCTGATCTTTTGGTTCTATAGAAACTAGAAAGCGACTTCATTTGGTTTCTCGTTAAAAGCAGAGTTGAACCACGGTTTTCCATCTTAACAATTTTCCTGTCGTTTTTCTTTTAAAACTAGACCATATCTCCATTTGGTTTTTTGGATTTAGCTCATATCTTCATCTGGGTCTCCTTCTGAACCGTCAAAATCCATTTGATTGAGTAAAAAAAAGGACAAAATGATCACCGGAACCGACATGTATCACGTTCTCGCGGCCGTAGTGCCTCTCTATGTGGCTATGATCCTTGCTTACGGTTCGGTGAAATGGTGGAAGATATTCAGCCCCGATCAGTGTTCCGGCATCAACCGCTTTGTCGCTCTGTTCGCTGTTCCTCTGCTTTCTTTTCACTTCATCTCTACTAATAACCCATACACCATGAACATACGTTTCATTGCTGCTGATACGCTTCAGAAGATCATTGTCTTATCTGTCCTTGCAATCTGGTCAAGAGCCAGCTCGAGAGGCTCCCTTGAATGGTCGATAACACTCTTCTCCCTCTCTGCTCTCCCCAACACTCTTGTTATGGGCATTCCCCTTCTGAAGGGTATGTATGGAGAGTTGTCAGGGAGTTTAATGGTTCAAATCGTTGTTCTCCAGTGCATAATCTGGTACACTTTGATGCTCTTCTTGTTCGAGTACAGAGGAGCCAGGCTTCTCATCGTAGAACAGTTTCCGGACACCGCTGGTTCGATAATTTCCTTTAGGGTTGACTCTGATATCATCTCCTTAGATGGTAAAGAGCCTCTCCAGACAGAGGCAGAGGTCAGCGAAGATGGCAAGCTTCACGTTACAGTGAGGAAATCCACGAGCTCGCGGTCGGAGATATTTTCCCGACGATCTCATGGACCCAACTCTGGCGTTTCTTTGACTCCTCGGCCGTCGAACTTGACAAATGCAGAGATTTACTCTCTACAATCCTCGAGAAATCCAACACCAAGAGGGTCGAGCTTCAACCACACTGATTTCTATTCCATGCTGAACGGGAGAAATGCCAACAGTGCAAGTCCCAGACGATCCAATTTCGGGAATTTGGGTTTTGATGAGGACAATGGTATGGTCAATCCACTGAGGGCTAATGGGATTTTTTCACAAGGAAATTCAGTGGAGGGTGTTGGCTATCCAGCGCCACCTAATGCCGGAATATTTTCTCCGGCGGCCGGACCCGGGGCCAAGGAGAAGGCCAATGGGATCGGTGGGGAGAAAGATCTGCACATGTTTGTTTGGAGTTCCAGTGCTTCCCCAGTCTCTGAAGGGGGAATTCATGTCTTCAGAGGAGGAGATTTTGGTAATCAACATGGAGGTGTAGCTCATCCTGCAGGTAATCATGCAAAAGGTTGGAACATCTAAAACTGGATTTGAATTTTTTATTTGTCAGATTTCTCTTTTCCTGTAGATTGTATGTTTAATTATCCATGGACGTTGGATTCTTGTTTTTATGAAGAAACTGTCTTTTGTGAGGACTGAACCCGAGCTGGGTTAATTTGTTGGTTGTTTTCAGATTGTTCTTTCTAGTCCTTCTGAGCAGATCACTCTTTAATTTTGGTAGTACTTGTTTGTTATTGTTGTATGAAACTGGAAGCTTTATTTTTGTATACTTCTGTCATGTGTCAATACCCATTTTGTGATGATTATCAGATTATGAAGAGTTTGGCCGGGATGAGCGAGAGGGACCAGTCTTGTCGAAGCTGGGCTCAAGCTCTACAGCCGAGCTTCACCCAAAAGCTGGGGTCCATGGAGACTCTAAACCTACATCCATGCCACCTGCCAGTGTTATGACCAGACTCATTCTGATAATGGTCTGGCGTAAGCTCATTAGGAATCCGAACACATACTCCAGCCTCATTGGCCTTACCTGGTCTCTAGTATCTTTCAGGTTTGCAAACTGATAAACTGCTCGTGAGTTGTGAATTACCATAGCTGCGTAAACCAGATTCTAGCCTCTAATCCCTTACCATTGACCTGCTTCGTAGGTGGGAGATTGAGATGCCAGCAATCATAGATGGTTCGATTAAGATTCTATCGAATGCGGGTCTCGGAATGGCTATGTTCAGTCTTGGTATGTCTTGAAGTTTTTCAGATCTGTCTTGCTTCACTTCTTCTGTTAATTGAGAAAATAATCGGGTAAAAATCATGTTATGGCAATGCAGGTTTGTTTATGGCCTTGCAGCCAAGGATCATTGYTTGTGGGAATTCAGTTGCTGCCTTCACCATGGTTGTTCGGTTCCTCACAGGTCCTGCTGTCATGGCTGCAGCCTCAATTGCTGTTGGTTTGCGAGGCGTCCTCTTACATGTTGCCATTGTACAGGTAAAAGGGTCTGAAAATACTAGATCAAATGTGTTTGATAACTTCTCCAAACCACATTTCTTGGTAATATTTGTGTAGTAAATTTTAATTTTATCATTGCCCTTGAGTTTTCAGGCAGCTCTTCCCCAAGGAATTGTCCCCTTTGTCTTTGCCAAGGAATATAATGTGCATCCTGACATCCTGAGCACAGGGTTTGGATTCAACCTCTCTTGTTCTTGAGCTCTATTTTCCTTGCTTGATGCATCTATATACATATATGTTCGTATATTCAGCTGTTTTTTTTCACATTGGTTGTAGGTAATGGGTCATGTACTATTTCTTTATACAAGCAATGCATGTGACAATGAAAGTTCATGTGTTCCAATTGATTTGTGCATCTATTCTTTGTGGAATCAGCATCTTATTATCTTGTTTTATGTGAAGATTCTTTCTTTCTTATTCCATACTGATGAGGTCTTCCTCTATTGTCTTCTTGCAGGGTTATCTTTGGAATGTTAATAGCTCTGCCAATAACACTAGTTTACTATATCTTACTGGGGCTTTGAAGATGATGGAGAGCTGCTGAGAAAGGTTATACAAACTGTAAAGCTTTTACCCTTTATTGAGCCATTTTTTTGGCTTATCTTAACAGAACAGCTGATGTCTTCAGTGAAAAGAGAGAAAGAGAAGACAATTGACTGCAAAGTGAAAAAGGAAAAGGGGAGAGATAAGGACATGACCATGGAGTACAATTTTGAATGTTTTTCTTTTCTTTTCCTTGTCTTTTGTTATTGTTCTTTTGGAAACTAGGGAAAAGTTAAGCAATGTTGCTACTTTGAATGTGGAAAGGGATAACTGAAAGCTATAGTGACATTTGTTCTTTAATGGTTACTTTTGAGCACTTATCACTAGTAATTCGGCTATTCCAATGTCATGAAAGAAATATCTGGTTCCTTTGCTGTATTTACTTCCTTTAGTGGATAGGGTTCTAGTCTTATGGGCAGCTTAACTGCCCTACTGCATCTGAAACTTAACAAGTTAACAGCTATCTTCAATTGGTATATTTGCCTGATGTATCTGCCCTGATGTATTGGAGCTAAGGGCCCGTTTGGTTTGTAGGAATAAGGGTCTGAAATCAGAATCGGACTGCTTGATTGGACGGAATTGGAATCCTATTCTCATTCTTAGTGGAATGGCATTCCCCCATTCAAGGGAATGGTAATTCCCTCCCCTCAGGAATGAATTCTCATTCCAGCTGATTTTAATTTCCATTCCAATTTCAAACAAACAAATTATGAGAATAAGACCATTATTCGAGGAATGGCCATTCCCTCTCTCTCCTTTGGGAATGAGATTTCAATTCCCATTCCAAACAATTCCAAACAAGCAAATTTGATGTTGCCTACTAGCTAGGCTTTTCCCAAGCTAAAACCGCACTTTGCCAACAAAACAAAGGCTATGCCAAAAGGGCTCAGTTTTTCAGCCGTTTAGCCATCTTAATTTAGGATTGCAAATGGTATTAACAGTTTGTCCTAAATTAGAATTCCACCCAGTTTGGGGTAAGCCCTAAATTAGAACTCCACCCAGTTTGCGGTGATCCGAGTTTGACCCATGGATGGAATATGGATTCACCCTTTACTTCAGATCTTATTTTACTCTATCTGCAACGCCAAACAAACAAAGTAAGGTTAAAGCGGAAACAAACGTAAAGCAGAACTTGAACACATAATCTGCACACCCTCGTACTTCTGCACTAGTGCAAATAATGAAATTACGGTCCTTATGTAAAATTGGCTTGGATGTTGTATTTAACGAGTTCAACATTGTCACAGTGCAGGGCTAAAACAGAAAATCATGGCCTTCCATCTACTACAATGGTTCCATCAAGAAGTCATTCAAGGTGGGGCCATGACAGCAAATCAATTTGATTTACTTGTTTCAGTCGAGACCAGGGTTATGACATTATGGTAGCAAACGAGGATTGTGTAATTTAACCAACGGAAATTGTCTAAAACTCACCAGACTTTTCAACATTTCTTTTAAGCCTTGTATGCTTTTCGGTAATTTGGGTAAGTTTTTCTTGAGAAACATTTGTGCAAGTAAGTGTATTCATTCATGTTCTTTTATTTCTTAAGTAAAAAAAGAAAATGACTATTTTAACTATAAAAATTCATTATTAAAAGGGACATTTTTGTCCCATTTAAGTGTTGAAAACTTTCCCACTTGGGAAAGTTATTTATCCACCTAGAAGATGGGTAAGTGATACCAGAAAATAAACATTCTCTAGTCCTCACATTAATCTGAAAAAAGAATATGAGATTCTTGGTCATTGGGAACCAAAATCTCATTGACCAACTTTCCCCCCTCTCAAAATCCAAAAAAAAAACACCCCTTTAAGCTCACTATAACTTTTCATAATGTCCAGTAAACCCCCATGTTAGTGAGTTTTTGTTTTCTAAAACACACCATATGTTAGAGCAGTGTTCATTGACAAAAGTTGTCCACGTCAACATAAATGTCATAACCCAAATCCAATTGTCAGGGAACCAATCAATCCAAATCCAATTATCAGCCATATCCCAATTTCCATTCTTAAAAGGGACTCAGTTTTGGTGGGAAAGCCCCTAATCCTATTTAAGACAAGAACTCTAGTTATGTTTAGTCAATGATTACAAACCAATGCTGTTCCATCCAATCGAGCTAATTAACTATTTACAACAAATATGTTTATCATCCAAACAAGAATCTGCAACTTTTGGCTAGACCCATCTAGGCTTGACCCAACTCGCTCAAACGGTTTTCTTTGGTTGCCAAGTTGAATTTTCATATTTTACTCTCAATGGTAAATTGCACATCTTCAAAATGATCATATTCATCAAAGGTTTTCTTTCTTTTTCTGCAGCTCACTCAAACTATGTTCAACCCTCCAAGCACGTTTGCTCAGAAAAGAACAAAAAGTGCACTCAAAATGGCCCACAGCATCTCGGAAAAGTACTTTGTCTCCCATGGCCTGAGACAGCGAGAGGAACACAACCTGTCACCTGAGACTAAAGGCTAAAACTGTGAAACATGGTGAGTTGGTGACCCAGGGTGGGCCTGGACTGGAGCTAGATTTACAGGCCCATCCTCCTTTCATAGAGAGGGAACGGAGTCATCTTTTACCTTTGGGTAGACCTCGCAAAAAGTTGATCCAACCCGTGAACTCGACCCAACCTAACCCGAAAAAACAGGGCTAGGGTCTCATATTTAGCTATCTGAATGTGAAAATGACCCGGTACGATCCAATCCGAAAAAAACTGGGTTGGGTTGAATTGGGTCATGGGTCAACCCGCTGACCCGATTGTCATGTCTAATTGGGATTACTTATGCATTGTTAGAAGTTTTCATTCTTTAATTTTTTCTATTTAGTCTTTACTTTTTATTGTTTACTCTTTAAATTGTTATATGTTCAAGATTTTATTTTATATTTAGAATTTTAAGGTTAATTCTTTTAATTTTGACATTTTTCATATAATTTTTCTTTATTTTTTTAAATTTCAATTATTGTTTTGGGATGATCCGAACTGACCCATGGGTCAACCCTAACCCGAACATTTAGGATTAAGACATAGCATTTGACAATCCCACCCGAAATTCAACCCAACTTGAAATCAACCCAAAGTACCATGACCCAACCCGAACCTGACCCACCCAACCCAATTGCGAGGTTGTGACAAAACGTAGTGGGACCTGACAATCCATGCAACTTCCTATCAGGTCCATTTTTGGGCCCAGCCCAACTAGATAGGTGGTATGGTATGAGACCCACTAGGATAGGTGGAGAGTGGAGACTGATAGAGATGGACCTTGAATATTTGGAAAGTTGTCCTTGACTTTATTGGGCCCCATTGGGTACCCACAAAGTCTATCCTTGTAAGTGAACACAAAAAGACACCCTTCTGAGGTGGGCCACCCTTTCCTCTCAAATCCCCCCTCCTGTGAAGTACACTAACTGATAATTCCCATTTCCAAACACGTGCTTAGACCATGTGTATGGCTTAAGAGGAGACATTTTTTCTAAATATGAGAGCAGACAACATTAGAGCCAAGGCCTCTGTATAGTTTAGGACAGCCAAGAAAGAATAGTGTTCCATCAATTGTTATATGACTTGAAAACAACTATAAAATCAAATTACCGATCTAATAATAAATGGGGCACGCTACATGGCCTTTGCTTTCTCCTTTACCCTAACAGAGAAAGAACTCTCAGCCCCTCTTTCATATAACATTCTTTGCTCTCTCGTGAAGTCATCTCATCGAGGTCTTCTCCCTCTCTTATTTCAACACTTTATCATGCCTGGTCCATCATTTCATATTTCCTAATCATGAGAAGTAGGGATGTCAATGGGTCGGGTTAAATGGTAAACCCGGTTTGACCCAATCATGAGAAGTAGGGATGTCAATGGGTCGGGTTAGGATTTTGATTCTTCAACCTGAGTCAGGTTCGAATGAAGTTGAGTTATGATTGACTGTCCGGACAGGTCATGATACCCTACATATATACAAATTATTCTTGTAATTTTTTGATTTCTAACTCTATAATTTTAAAGTTTAAGATTTATTTATATACCGACTTTTTTTTCTTCTTGTTTTAAATGAAAAAAGTGACACCTTAAAATCTATAAAACAATTCCCTAACTTAAATTAATTGATTTTATGTCTTCAAAACACGTTCAAAGGTATTGGATTAAACCCTATAGGGTCATGGTCAGATTTAGGAATCATGCATTTTAAAGTTGGGTCAAGTTGATGCATTGGAGGGTCGGGTTAGAATTGAGGCAAATCTGTGCCAAACCCACCCGTTGACATCCCTAATGAGAGGAATCGTGACTGGGTAGGAAAACAGGGCCACCAAGTCTCTTTCCCAACTAAAGTGACCTATTGGGGAAGCAATTACTAATTGTTTCAAAGCTTAGTAAAAAACAAATTTTTTGCCAATACATTGTCTTTCTCCACCCTCTTCTCTCCTCTCTCCACGCCCCTGTTTCAAGAACCAAACACCCCTGTTTCAAGAGTTCGACACCCCTGTTCAAAATGTCGTTGTTTGAAGACGATTAGGTATGTGTTTGGTCACCGTTCATTGCTCAGTGAAGTTGATTTTTAATCATTATTCGTGATTGTGATTCATCGCCATTTGTTTTTTGCGTTTTCCTGGACTGATTATTTGTTTTTTTGTTTCATCACCGGTTTTGGACGTGCATGGACTCCTTCAAAGCGTGTTCTTCATTTCCATCACGGTTGGAGGCTCAACTCCCACTCACCGGCGGCTGTGATTATATTTTCACTGTTTTTTTTTTCTTTTTTTATTTGAATGTTTTTTTTTTTCATTTTATGTTATTTACACTATTTATTTATTGAAATGAGTGAGAAAATAGTCAATTTTAGCATTTCGACCACCCTCAGTATACTGTTGTAGTCGCAAGGTCGAGTGAACGACATGTTTGAATTCGGGTTAAGAAGATGTCTATATTTGGGTCAGGTATTTTATCTCATCATGAATATCTGAGTTTTATGTTGGTATCAGAGCCGAAAGCCCCATCTCGCTCGTTTTAATTATTGTTCATTTAATTAACAGTATTAAATTTTTACTGTTAAATAATTAAATTAAAAATTATTTAATACCGTTAATTAAATAGAGTATTAACGAATATTGTTAAATAATTAATACTGTTAATTAATTAGCAATTAATACATTAATACCGTTAATAAGTAGTGTTAAATAATGTTATTAATAATTTTTAATTAAAACATATATTGTTATATTAAATACTCTTAATAAATAAAGATTGGAATAATTTTTATTTCATAGAGCTACTGTTATTGGTTATTGATGAGGGGTGGTTTGGGTCGACCTGATGAACTGAGGACATGTGGACAAAACTTGCTAGCCAAGTGATGATTCAACGCTTCTGACCACCTCA